TCTTTGGGGCCAAAACCTTGGTAAAATCAATGGTTTTGGCTTCCTCGCCGAGGCCATTTTGGACGCCCCAACGACCCGCGGACCCCCCCGTCCAGGCCCAGGGGAGGGGGTAGGGGGAGGGGTAAACCCCTCCCCGAAGGGGAAGAAGGAGGGGTGGAAGAGGAAACGCTCTAAACCACCGACGCCCAGAGGGCTGGTGAGATTAGAACACGTTGGGGCCTTCGAGCACCCTCCGCCGTCGAGCACGGGCCAGCTCGAGCGCCCTCTCCGCCGGAGGCCCGACCTCCGACCCACGGCGCGCGCAGCTGCCTGCGGAGGGCCTGGGCCCCGAGGGGCACGGGGCACCTCGGCATCGCTGCACCGACCCCCAGCCCCATCCCCATCCCCATGCCCTTCGAGACCCCATCCCCATCCCCATCCCCATCCCCTTCTAGACCCCATCCCCATCCCCATCCCCATCCCCATCCCCTTCCCCTTCGAGGCCCCCACGAAAGTACCACCCCAGTGGGGGATCCGCCCCTCGAAGCCCGAAGGGAGCGGCCCACATCCCCATCTGGGGGGGGGGGGGGGGGGGGGGGGGGGGGGGGGGGGGGCAAATCGGCCAGTGGGGCCCAGGCCACGCCGCTGGGGACGGGGATCGGTTAAGCGATACTCAGCACCGACACCGCTGCCCTTCGACGCTTTTCCCGTGTTGCGGCCCCCTGAGAGGCCTTCGTCGCCACCGTGGGATCCGCCTCGAAAGCCGAAGTTGAACGGACCCAGGGAGAGGTCTGGGGAGTGAGCGGTACCGGTACCTTTTAATTTCTACAGAAGCGGGGCTCAAGAGACGGGGGTCAATGCAAACGGGGTTCAGTCAGAGCGCCGGATCTTGCAGGACCCTGCAGAGCAAGGGTTGCACTGACCCTGGTCAGGGTGCAGAATCCTGCCGGATCTTGCAGGATCCTGCAAGGCCAGATGGACCAGGGTCTGGATTGACCCGGCTCAGTAGATCCCAGACGAAAAATTGTGCTGGCACCAGTGCGCTCCGCAGCTTACGGACCTGAGCGTGTCATATGATCTCTTATTCCACACCTCGGAGTTCGCCCTTTTGCAACCTCGCCAAGGCAGGCTCTCGGTAGACCATTGCGACCCAGGGCGCGTTTAAAAGTGGAGGAGGAGGAGGAGGAGGCTAAGGACAAGAAGGAGAGGAGGACTTGGAGGAGGGGGATGAGGAAGAGGAGGAGGAGGAGGAGGAGGAGGAGGAGGAGTTGCAGCAGGATGCGCGCGATGGATCGCCAGGACGCTCAATGCTCCGTAGACAAAACCACGTGTGTATGTGGGAGGACCAGGTTAAGGATGGATGCGCATGCGGCGCCTGCTCCAGGTTGCCCACACGCACCGCCAGAAGCGAAGAGGGAGGAACAAGCGGGACGAAACAGCAACAGGGCAGGATGATGATGATATGGGATACCAGCGCGCGCGCCATGAAGCCCCCCCACACAGGCGAAGAACGAGGAGTTGACCATGGATGACATGACGGGAGGGACGTTCACGATTAGCAACGGCGGTATCTTTGGCAGCATGATGGGCCGCGGCCTTATCAGCACTCTTGTGAAGTCCCTGATCCAGCGAAGGATCTGTGCTAGCAGCGATTACACTGACAACGGACAACCATCTTGGTGCTTCGAACGTTGGCCCGAACCTTCGTTCGGTCGTCGTACACGCCTCTGCCGGAGAACAAGAACACAACGCAGCAAGTCGAGTGGCAGTGTTTATGAACAGTTGAACTCTCTCTCTCTCTGTAAGGCCGTCGCTCCACGGCCGATGGAATGTCCACGCTGACATACTGGCGCCGGCGAGCGTCCTCCGCTACCTCTCGGCGTGAACGCAATGCGCCAGCCCAGGACCAGGGCTGCACCTAAACGCCGTATTTTGCTGGACTTCGGCTGTGTTTTGTTTTTCGCCCTGGCAGGGAGGTGCAGGAAGGAAAACACGTGGAGCAAAGCGAGAAGCAAAGCGAACGCAACACGAAAAAAACAGCGTTGGGGTCCAGCCCTGCCCAGGACATCCGCTGCACGGCTCCCCGCCCGCCCGGAGCGCTCGGCACCGGGCGGGCAGGGGCTGCGGGGCCGGCCTGGCGCGGGCGCGCCGCGTGTCGGGCCGGGCGAACAGGGGGGGACTGGGAAAGGGGGGGGTACGAAATCTGCTGCGTGCAGCCGGTTTCGGCCCCACCGAGGGGCCCATTCCTCGATGCATGGCCGCCTCCGGCGCCGGGAGGCGCCGGGAAACTCAGCCACGTGAGCGGATTCTCAACCCCCCCCCCCTTTGCTATCCCCCCTTTGCGCCCGGCCCGAGTGTGCACACGGAGGACGCACCAGATAAGGACCTTCCCCCCGAGGGCCAGACTCTGGCGCGCTCCTTCCCGCTTCTCCTGGCGCCGCCATCGCGGAGCAGATTTCGCTCGGAAAACAGCGAGATGGGCCCCGACTGTCCCGGAGAATTCCGGTCCGCACTTCGGAGTGAATTTCGCGCGGATTCGTTGTCCAGGAATGAAGACAACAAAAAATCCACGTGCAATTCTCTCCGCTTTCCGCTCGCCGTCTCGGGGTTTTGCATTGGCAGAAATCCATGCCACAATCCGCTCCAGCACGTCTGCAAGGTCGGTGCAGTGACGCTTCGAGGCGAGCGGAGGGGCCCACCTTTGGCAGCTCGTCGCTCGCGAGACCCTGGGTTCCTTATCGAAGGTGTCCCTATCGAAGATATCTCGGGGGTGGACAGAACCCCCGCCCTGACACGTCTATTATATAGTGAATTGTCCCTTTTCGGTTCTCGAAAGGGCGCCGCGGCCGTCATTTTCCAGGCTTGCGCCCGCCAGGTTTGGGCCCGAGGTCGTTTTCACTAAACCACGTTTTACTGAAGGGGGTTCGTCTGTCCATCCCCGAATATCCTTGTCCTCATCCTTATCCTCCAGCGCAGGCGCTGCGAGTCGCATTTTGCGGCCGATAGCCTCCGGGCGGCCCAGGATGGTTCACGCATGCTCTTGGTGCAACAGGGTTCCTCATCGAAGGTACTCGCCGGTCGCTGAAAGCAGGTATTTCTGGATTCCCAGATCCCAATCTGCTTCAAGCGCCCTCCTACTCCGTGAATCGGCATGCTTTTGCTGTGCGCTTTGTTGTTCTCTGGGAGGACTGGGCCCAGTCTACTGCCTCCGCCTTCCTGCTTCATGCCTCCACTCTTCCGACCGACGCGCACCCCCTATGTTATCATTCAGGTTAAGTAGAATTCACATCTCTTTTTTGCAAAAAAAAAAAAAAAAACAATATATATACATATATATATATGTATATATATGTATATATATACACATATATATACACATTGTTTTTACTGTAGCGGGCTGCGCGTGCATCTTGTTCCCGTATCCCGGTCCTTCTCCCCGTGCTCCACCGCAGGCGCGGCGAGTCGCACCACCCTGCGGCCGACGGCCTCCGGGCGGCCCCGGCCGTCTCTCTCTCCCTCGCGGGTGCTCTCGGCGCGCAGGCGGGGCCACGCCGCCCCGCGCGGCGCGGCGCAGCCCCGGCGCGGGCCGTCCGGGCGGAAGCGCCGCCGGCGGCCCGGAGCCCGCCGATGGGTGGCGAGCGCTCTGCGCCAGCGGGCGACGCGGGGGACTCGGGACGGGCGAAAGGGGGGGATTGGGAAAGGGGGGTTTACGAAATCTGCTGCATGCAGCTGGTTTCGGCCCCGCCGCCGGGCCCATTCCTCGATACATGGGCGCCTCCTGGCGCCGGGAGGCGCCGGGAAAATCAGCTACGTGAGCTGATTCTCAAACCCCCCCTTTGCTATCCCCCCCTTTCGCCCGACCCGAGGGACCGCGCTCGAGGTGGAGCGACGCCCGCGGTCCCAGAGAGCCGGCGCACGGACCAAGAGTCAAGAGAGGGAGGCTTTTCGCAGCTCTCGGCCTCCGGGGGCCCTCGCCGGGCCCCGGGGCCGTCAAGAGAAGGCTCGGGATGAGAAGCCGGTCCTGGGGACTGCGTCGAGGCGTCCGGGGACGGCATATCGGAACAATCACGGCATCAGATCTCTGGGGCGTCAGAGACCGACGCCGACGTCAAGGCGGTGTGACTTTTGTTATGCGCAGGGGCTCGAACATCTCTGTGTAGGAGTGGTGGCCAGAAGCCGCGCGGCACTGGCGGCGTCGAGGACCGAGCCAGGCCAGGGGCGAGGATCGTCCAGCCACGTGGAGGACGATGCGAGCAGTCAGGGGCGTAGCTCTTCCCATTTCGGTTCCCCTCCTCCCCGTCCACGTTGCGACCCTGCGGACGGACATGGCGCGGACCCCGTCAGGGCGAGGCTTGCGACCGACGCGCAGACCGCCGCCGATGGCCACTCCCATGGTCATGTATATATATATATATATATATATATATATAACACAAAAAAAAAAAAACTTGTTTGATCCGCGGGTCGAGAGCGAGCCTCTTCCGGTCGAAGCTAAGCGGGCCGCGCACAGTTTTCATTGACAGAGGGGGGAAGGCAGAAGGAGGGGCCTCACGTCAAGGCCAAGAGAGGGCAAAGCCCCAGAATCAGGCGGTGCCGAAGGCGATGAGCATGCAAAGGAACGCCTTGCACAGGAACCTGGTGGCGAAGTACCGGAAGAAGCAAAATACTGTGGTGATAGTGCCGTCAGCGGATATATATATATATACACACACACACCTACATATATATACATATCTATACATATACATATACATATACATATACATTATATATAACACATATGTGTCTCTCTCTCTCTCTCTCTCTCCCTCCCCCGCCTTACTTTTCAAGCTCCTCTGATGCCGACTTTTCCGCCCTACCGTGCCGTCGCTGTTTTTTTTTGCCATGCCCTTGCGAAAACATCCGGCCGACCTTTCTGCAGCGGAGACATCCGCCCTGCTTTTGCGCTCTGCTTGCTCCTCCTCCTCCTCCTCCTCCTCCTCCTCCTCCTCCTCCTCCTCCTCCTCCTCCAGCAGCGCAGCAGGGGGGAGGCAAGGCTCAAGACCCGCCCGGGCCCGGCGCGCCCTCCGCATGCGCCCGGCCTGCCGCGGACGCCGCGGCGTCTTCCCCTACCCGAACGGCGAGATCTACGTCGGCCAGTGGGCCGCCGCCGCCGAGGCCGACGGGCCTGCCGAGGGCCCGCCGCAGCGGCAGCCGAGCGCACGCCTGGACGCCCACGCGGCGGGGGGCCTCGCGGCCAACGTGCGGACGTCGGCGTCGTGGAACCTGTCTCTTGGCCTCCCAGACGGGGGTCCTCCTCCTCCTCCTCCTCCTCCTCCTCCTCCTCCTCCTCCCTCTCCTCCTCATCTACCCCCTCCTCCTCCCTCCTCCTCCTCCTCCTCCTCCTCCTCCTCCTCCTCCTCTTCCTCCTCTTCCTCCTCCTCCTCTCTCCTCCTCTTTTCTCCTCCCTTTCCTCCCTCTCCTCCCTCTCCTCCCGCTCCCCTCACTCCTCCTCCTCTCCTCCTCCTCTCCTCCTCCTCCTCCTCCTCCTCCCTTGCTCCTCCCCCTCACCCCTCCTCCTCCTCCTCCTCCTCCTCCTCCTCCTCCTCCTCCTCTCATCATCAATCATCATCATCCCATCAGCATCATCATCAGCATCATCAATCATCATCATCATCATCAGCATCATCAATCATCATCTCATCATCAACAACATCCTTCTTTGACGATCTGCGGACTTAGGGCCCGAATGTGAAAGCGTTAGTGGTCCCTCGGTGCTCCTCCTCCTCCTCCTTCTTCTCCTCCTCTCCTCCTCTTCCTCTCCTCCTCTTCCTCCTCCTCCTCCTCCTCTTTCTCTTCCTCCCTCGTCCTCCTCCTCCT